CAATGTCGATAATTATAAAGTGAATAAGTAATTCAATATAGTTTTAATTCTATGGTAGATAGCCCATAACAGGGCTCGACAAGATCAGTCAGAAAAAAATTCCTCAAATTCTTATTCCCTTTAGATAAATCCCTATCATGTTATCTAGACCCACACCTCAATCAACATCACGGAAAAGGAAGTGCTTTATATTAATGAGTTTTAGGCTTTTAGCTCGTCAAGCAGTACTTGTTAAGATCAAATCATAAGCATCGATGACCACAACAACAACAGGACGGAAAGGCAGATGTGTACCTGAAGATGGAGGCTATAGAACGTCCTGTTCTGGAATGCGGAAGTCGACGAATTTATGAGGCGAAGACCTTGGCTCTCCAGCACCTTGATGCACTTGGACATGGGCAGAGCTCCGGCCATTGTGCTTACCAGGCTGACCTGGACCATGATCTCCCTGTCGTCGAGGCAGGTGGCGGACACGATCGGGGCTGTGTTCTGCCTCATGGCGCCTTGCTCGCAGCTGGCCCGCCTCAGCTCCTCCTTCTTCTTCTCCAGGCCGTCTACCTCCTTCTGCAGCTCCGGGATGTACTTGATCACCCGCGAGACCGTGGTCGGAATGCTCATCTTCTTCTGCGATAGTAGCAAAAGATAAATCGATCAGATGCTTAGAATATCTCACATGTACATAGCTCAGAGGAAAGATGAACGAGTTGTGTCTAGTTAAGCGATTTAATTACATTGTGATCGTCATCGGGGAGGAGGGAGCGGAGGGAGGAATATTGCTCGTTGAGCTGCTTGCGGCGGTCACGCTCGTACGCGTTGTGACTCATCTTGCGCTGTGATCCGGAGCCGCCGGAGGAGGTGGCGTTGTTGGCAGCCGGCGCCGACGGTATGTCGTTATCCAAGCCCGGCCACTGCATGGACGGCGTGAGGTGGTGGTAGCCGCCGGCACCGGAGAACATGTCCTCCTCCAATGACGACATGCTGCTCGCGAAGGGGTCGTTGAACATCTGGTGCTGGTGCCCCATTGCTAGCAGGTCGCAGCTAGCTTCTGCTTGATCTCCGAGAGGTTAGAGATGATGGTGGATGAGAGAGTGGACCTAGTGTGGTAGTAGGCAGGTGCCTGCTTGAGCAAGTTCCGGAGTGGTGACCTCCCATTTATATAGGGCGAGAGAAGACGGTCGACGGTGAGAACTCCAAAGAACTGATTTAGGTGGTGTTTGGTTCACAAGTCCTAGAACTTTTTCTAATTCCAGAGACTAATCAAAAAAGACTCACCAATAGAGTCTTTTTCTAGTCCCTGTAGAAAAAGTCCCTCCTGTTTGGTTTCTAGGGACTTTTTAGGGACTTTTTCTAGTCTCTGGGACTAAAAAGTCCCTGAACCAAACACCCCCTTAGCCTGGACGTCTAAGTCACAGAGAACATTTTGAGAGCGAGGTAAAGGGTTGTTACCTTATCATTTATTTTTGTTTGGGATTGGCTGCTAGCACTCAATTAACTCTTGTCAATTTTCCGAAGTTGTTCATATACATGCAAACAAGTTCACTTGTTATAAATAACGGTTCAACCAATACAAAATAACTATAGTATAAATGTTGCTTGTTTTCGGAGTCAAGGAAAAGAAAATCTTGTATGGATCTTAATGACAGGTCAATGATACTCGGTGTCGACTGAGATTTAACTACTACCTTTGTCCTGATTTACTAGTCCCCTCGTATTTAGGGTCATATTTTGACTATGATTTTAGCTAATAAAATATATTTTATACACACCAAAAATAATATTAACTGAAACTATGTTCAAATACTAATCCAGCGATATAATTTTTTATGACATGCATTAAGATTTTATTAGTCAAATTTATGGTTAAATTTTGACACAAAATACGAATGGGGCCAAGAAACCAGGATGGGGGTAGTAATTCTCATTGGACCGAGATAATTAGCAAACCTAAAAACTCCCAACTACATTGAAATACTCTAATCATCTCAATGAACTAAGGTTCTACACGTGTCCATATCAAAATCATAATAGTACTCCAAGTTCCATTCCAAGTGTTATCATCAATAAATTGCGAGAAGGAAAGACCATATATTAAATTTACCCAACCCTTAAAAGATCATAACATACAACTCTTTGGTAATGTGAGGTCGTTTTCCTCATGCACTTGCTGGAGGAGTATCATGAGCAAATCTCGATGCCGCCTCTGGATCTCCGAAACACCCTCGTGCCCAGGAAAAATGTTGTTGACGCAATGGCCGAGAAATCACTAGAGGCAAAAGATGCAAGTGAATAAGATGATTAGATCGCCACCACGGAGAAGAATGCAATGAATAGGGTTGGATAACAACCTCAAATAATGCCTGGCAAAAATGAGGGGGCCTTACCTCACTAACTTCCAATTGCAAAGGAGCCGAAGTTAGCATATGCTTCACTGAATGGAGAAGAGCTAGAAGACCAAACCATGAAACATCGTTGTTTGCCCCACCTTACGACGTTGTCGAAGATCACCCACACGAACCAAAGACAACACATGCCCTAGATCAGACCATGACCGAAGCTTCACATGCCCCACCTAGGGTGGCCCTTACTACACGACCAACCACAAACAAGGGTTCCCCCTACCTTCCAAGCATCGGAAGGCACCCCGAGACAAGGGGAACTGGCGACTGAAAGTGCACGATGGAGGAGCTAGCCCTAGTTGTAGAAAACAATCTACACTTCCACAATAAAAAATATACATGATATGAAATATTTCAATGATAATTCTAGTGGTATTGATCGATTTGATATTGTGGATGTTAATACTTTCTTGTATAAACTTGGTCAATACGCAGTTTGACTCGAGACGAAGCTAATATGCGATGTAAAAAAAAGGAGGGAGTATAAAATTAAATTGACGAGTGATCTGTTTGCTGAGTTGCTGTTATAGTTTATACTCGTTTCTTTTAAACAATATTTGTATACTTCTAGGAGTTTGTACTCCCATTTCTCACATATTATTACTTAAATGTATTAATTATACCTTTCTATCATAATTTATACATACTACATTAATAACTACTCCCTCCGTAAAGAAATAAAAGAGTATTTAGATCACTAGAATTGTGATCTAAACGCTCTTATATTTCTTTACACAAGGAGTGCCATAGATACTATTTCAGTGCGAGTTCAAATATAGTATTTCGGTGTGGAGTTGGGAGTATTTTATATTATTTGCACACATATTTTTTGATGTAACATTTTCTCTTTGTGGGTGGAAAGGTAACAACCGTATATGTATCTGGCATCTGGATGGTTTGACTGGTAATAAGAGTGCCACGATGTCAAAATACATAACTATAGGGTGAGCCAATGGCCACGTTGATCCATAGCAGCATATTCAGTGACCGTAACTCGCGTATTAGTTCCTAAATACAGTAATGGAAAGAGAGCATGACAAGCAATCGCTATCCAAAGATTGGCTTCTGATTCGAATGTATTCCCGTTCGCTCTCATAGCTGGGACCTGTGATTGGATCGGATGCGTGCCATGCTTGTTGGCAAAGCTTTATTAGTGATATATAGATTCACTCAGGGCATCTCCAGCCGTTCGGCCCCCCAGGGCGCCTAAATAGAGCGGCCTGGGGGCGTGACTGGAAGTTAGGTCGCGCCGGCGCTAGTTCGACCCCTGGGGGCGACCTAGCTCCCAGTCACGCCCCCAGGCGCCGGCCCCAGGATGCGGGAAATTTAAACTTGGTCGTTCCCGCTCTCAAAAGACGCCACAAATCCGGCGATCGGACGTAGTCTGGCGTTACAAAAAACAGAGCGCCGCACGCCGCAAGTTCGCGTGCGCAATGATTCACTCGGCGGGGTCGGCTCCAGGCGTTGGCGGAGTCGGCGTGCGCGGGCTTGGCGGTGTCGGAGCTGCTTCGGTGCTGGGCTGTGTCGGCGCGGCTTCGGTCCTGTCCCGGGTGGCGAACCCGGGAGACGAACCCGGGAGACGTGGCGGCCGCGGTCGATCCTGTCGCGATGATGTCGTCCATGTCAGCTCTTGTGTCGTCGGTGTCGCCGAGGTGCGAGAAGGGCAGCGGTCCACGGCGGAGATGGGGCGTCGGTGTGGACACGTAGGCGGCGGACGGCGAGTAGTTGTATGGAGGATACTGCACGCCGACGAAGGCGGGCGAGGGTGTGCGCGTCGCGGGGTGGCCATGGGGGAAGGTCACGTTTGGGTTGAACCCCCCGTGCGCGTCGCCGTCGGTGTAGCCGGGCGACGACGATCCCCATGGAGATCCGGCGCCTTGCTGTCCCCAGGGCGCGTACTGGGCGTGGCTGACGACGGGTGCATTCATCATCCCCGCGTGGTCGACCGATGAGGAAGACGCCGCCGCACGCGCCGCGTTGTCGCGGGCCTTCTTGACAATGGCCTTGTTCCGCCGGTCGGTGGTGACTGCGTCGCGTCGCTGAACTTCCACCCTTCATTCGGCGCTCGACATGCCCGGTGGCTTCGATGGCGGCGCCCTCGGCTTCCTCTGCTTCGGCTGGGCCATGGTGCCAGTCGTGGTTGCTGCCGCGCGCGGCATGGCGTACTTCTTCGGCGGCATGGCGGCGACTGGAAGGCGAGCTGGAGGGGGTTTGGCGGGAGAAAGGGAGGGAATGGCGGGAGGAAGGCGAGCGAGCGGAAGAGATGTGAGGGAAAAGCGTCAATAAGCGGCGGGAAAAGGCCCTCGAGTCGCCGCCAGGGCGGGCCCACACGCCATTTTCGCTTGTGCCAGCTCCCCAAGCGCCCCCAGGGCGCCGGGTTCGGCCTGGGTCCGCCGACATCAGTTTTGGTTCGAGCCGGCGGAAAACGAGTTTTTAAGGGCGCGACTGGACCGTTTTTTTTGGCGCCGGCGCGGCAAAATCATCTAGGAAGGGTCTGTTGGGGGTGCGGCTGGAGATGCCCTCCGCGGCCAGGGTGTATACCATCAGTCATCAGTAGTACGTACTAGTAGTACTAGCTAGCAGCAGATTAAGCTGGCTTGTATCGAGATTCGCCAAGTGACGAAGGATCTCGCCGTGTGCAAACTTTAGGAATGGACGGCTTTATTGATCGCGCCTGCGGCGAGACGCGCGTCGACTGACGTAGCGCCCGGCCGGCCGCCCTGGAGGCACGCGTTGTGGCCGTGCCAGTGCGCGCGCCGCGCATGCCGGCTCGTGCCGCCGACGCGGAGGGCTCAGGCCAGGGACCGCTAAGGCTGGAATCGATACCCAAGTGCTATACGGTATTCGTATTCAAGAAGAGGAAAACGCTAACAGTAGAATATATTATGGCGAACAGTATCCGCACCCGAGCTGAACCGTAGATACTATATAGTCTAGGTTTATTAGGTGTGTATATATTTGCGTCTGACTAAGCAAGTTGGGGAAAGAGTAAGTGTTGAATCCACGTTTTACCTTCGAGGATATCAAGTATTAGCTATGGATTTGTAGAAAATGAGTTTTAAACCGGTTTTTAGCAAAATCGGTTTTACTAATTGTTTTCTAAATAATCAGTTTATATGAAACTATGTTTGGAGTTAGGAAACTATAAAACGAGTTGGTCGGGTTCCTTGTTTGTATAGTGATTCACGTGGCCTTCTCTTTCTTGTGTGTACTTACGTCAATTTCGCTACTGGTAGATAATTGCAAGTTCCGATACCCATCACTGAGATGCTTTTCCGCGGGATTTTTTGTCAAAAAGGACCATTTGCCGAACACAATTGACAGAAAAGACCACCCCTAAATCACATTGACAAAACGGACCAGCTGGGTCGTGGCGGCAGGCGCGGCAGCCGACACGTGGCGCCTGCCGCCACGCCTGGAGGCGGCAGCCCCTGCCGCCACATGCCCAGGCGGCAGGTGGCCTGCCACAGGATTCAGCGAACAGGACGGAAAGGAGGCTGTGCAAGTGGGCCCTGCCGCCTTCTATTTGTGGCGGCAACACTGTGCAAGACTGTATACTTCTTTGGACTGCGGCTTCTCCACGCGAGATGCATCGCTGCATGCATGCATGCATGCAAGAGGCAGGA